ACAAGCCTCCCAAATTTCAAAAATTTAACTCTCGTATCAAATATCAATTGGTTTTACTCTCGTACTCTAAAATGTTATGTTGCTCAGACTTTTCTAAAATGTAAAGGGGTGTGTATCGGATTCGCCAAAAGTAGTGTATTTTTGGAGAATCCGACACGGGTGTGGCATCGAAAGTGAAGAGTCCGCGCAACATAAGTGAAGCATGTAGTAATAGTTAAGCTGAACACAGTATTTGTGATCAACAAAAATCAAAACTTCACTTTTTTCTATATAATCAACACAAGAATAGTACAAATGTAGTGCACCCAAGGGTGTGGCCTAGTGGTCAATGAAGTGGGTTGCAAACCACGAGGTCTTAGGTTCAATTCCTAGTGTAGCCAAAAAACATAAGGTGATTTCTTCCCATTTGTCCAAGCCCGGTACATGTGCTGATGAGAGAAGTAGCAGGTACCCCGTGGAATTAGTCGAGGTGCGCGCAAACTGGCCCGAACACCACGGTTATAAAAAAAGAGAAAGAACGGTAAAAATGTAGTAAACTAATGAAATAGAAGAGTCTTGTTACGCTTCTAGTAGCAAACTAGTTGATTTCGAGGAAGATGTTATGACTGATTTGCAGTGCCCAATGATATTAACTATGATTATATAGAGTATAAAGTAATAGATATCTCCTCATTCAGCCAAACAAGAACTCATTAACTCACCAATTTGTAGCCTAGGACCATTCAGATTTATTTCCTTCTATAATGTAACAAAATTATAAAGCCTAAAGTAAAATAGCATTATCTTAAAAGGAAATAGTTTAAAAGTTTAACAATTAGCTACTCGAAAAAGTTATACATGTACTCCTTGTTGCACGAGAGGGCAAAATTTGTAGTCAGTTCAGAAACCATAAGATGGGATAATGTAGAACATCATTCAAAAAAACAAGGAAACTCTGAAGTAGATTTTTCACTTCTACACTACAATTTCTTTTGCTTATTCTAAAGAGAAACGAACTCATAATTCCGTTGAGTTTCTTTTAAATAGTTGTAGATCTATCTTCTAAGGGCTGAAAAGGCAAACCATCTAAGCAGTAGCAATAACAACATACACAGTGTAGTCCCACAAGTGAGGTTTGGGGAGGGTAGAGTGTAAGCAGACGTTACCCCTACCTTGGGAAGTAGAGAGGGTGTTTCTGATAGACCATCCCCTACCTTGGGAGGTAGAAAGGTTGTTTTCATAAACCCTCGGCTCAAGGAAAAACATTTCAAAGCAGGTCGAAAAAGAAATAGCGGGAGTGAAAAAGTCATGGCAAAATACATATGTCTAAGCCTTCTGTGGAAAAAAAAGGAAATGTAACTACAACAAAATATTAAGATGATATAAGTGCAAGAAACAACTAGTACCAAACATTGAAGGATAAGAAACTACAGGAGTAATACTACAGCCACTAGTATGGAAAGATAAGCGAGACAACATACTACTACATTCTAACCTACCACCCTAATCCATGTCCTCGAAACTTTCCTACCTAAGGTCATGTCCTCGGTAAGTAAATAACATAAAATCTAGCATAACCCAACTTGAACCCCAAATGCTGGAAAAGTAATTTAGTTCCGTTCTTATTTTTAATATAATCTACAGTCGTTTCTTGTTCCTTGCAACTTTGAAATGGTCCTAAATAGGGAAATACATAATGCCACCAAATTTCTGCAACTTCCTCTATTCTCAGTATTCATCACTACCTTGTGAGTCTTGCCCAATGAAAACCACCAGCAAGCACACAACTGTCACACCCAAGGGTACTGAACACTATAAATATACCTCATATTTTTCAGATCAACATGCTATTACTTTTTGAAAACCCAACATGAATAGATAAACAAAAAGAGCTACCCACACTCTGAACTTGTCAGAGTACCTAAAGCTGATATATTGGTCAAAAACTTGATTCAACCACCAAAAAATTTGTTTCACCTGTTAATAGAAACTATAAATGAAAACCAAATATCAGGTCAGCTCTCACTTTATAGCACAAAAACACTACTTCTTGTGTAAAACTTCAGAAGATCTCTGTTTAAGAACATAAAGCAACTTCAGCTGGAAAGTCTACATCAAGCTCCATCAAACAAATTAGACATGCTTTAACTACTGTGTATACCCAAGAATGCAAAGCAAAAACCAACAACAAAAAATTAACAACAGAAATGTTGAAGCTATAAGACAATCAAAAACACCATTGCCAGGCTAACATGCAGCCATTATTCCAATGAAATAAAAAGAAATTACAGGTGAATTATTAATCATAGTGCATGAAGGACAATTACCTGGGCGGTCAAACCCTTGATCAGGATGTTCCTCTGATAAAAAGTTATCTGATGCTAAAAGTGGTCTTGACGAGGCTACTGACTTGGTTATCAACTGTGACAGGACCCAGTCCTTGAAGCTCATCATGTTTCCTGCACACAAAAGGACAAGGACTATCACAATTAATTCAGCTTGCTCCTTGTAGTATAAGACTTTAGGTGGCAACACCAACTGAAGATGTTCATACAATTGCATCATAGAAAGAATGCAATAGCATTCACCAATAAATAGACTACAGAGAAATTCTTATATTAAAATCATGATTGTGATTGGACCTGTCTGGTAAAGAGAATAATCTAAACAACAACATACCCAGTGTAGGAGGGTAGATATACCTGACCTTACCACTAAGACAATGTTCAATTGGAATGTGAATATGTGATTTAGTTAGTCCTAATTACTTTTCGGGGTGAAGTGAAGAAGGGGAGCTCTCAAACTGCTTGAATAAGAACACTACCTCAAGATGATTCCAGGATATTTCAACCAAATTACTGGACCAAATATGGAACAAAAAATATGGTGATTCACCATCTATTGATCCTATTGATCAGTTTACTTCACACTATCAGTATCGTAGTTTCACTCTAATGTTTCACAGTTGCAGAAATGCCAAGTAAGGCTATGTACAGTACGCTCAATGTGCTCCATCCCTTCCCTGGACCCCGCACATAGAGGGAGTTTAATGCACCAAGCTTCCCTTTTAATATTTCAAACTTGTCATTTATTTGATGAGTGATATTTCCTACATAAATCATATCTACGTGGAAAGTTGCGAAACATCAACCAAGAAAAAAATAAGAATACCTAGTTTTAACTTAAGATGCAAAAAATAAAATAAAATAATCTACAGTCCTTATTTATGCCTTTTCCTTAATCAAGCAAGATATGCAACACCACCAAGTGAACTATGCTTTCTAGATCAAGGCAGCTTTCTGAAATAAACTTACAAATCAACAAATACAACAACAATAACTATATCTCAATCCTAAACTAGTTGAGCCTAGCTTTATGAATCTTTAAATCTTTAAAAATTCATAAAAATCATCAATTTCCTTCTGCATGTCAACATCCAGGAAAACAGGAAAGAGTTAAGAACACGTGGTCAAATACATACCTGGTTAACACTTACTTCCCATCAGCATTGAAGAAGAGCTTCAAAACTACAAAAATGAGCCAAAAATTAGCAAAGTATACATGAAACCCAAATCACAGACCAAGAATCTTCCTTTTTATGGTTTATCTACTGAATTAAGCAAAACCAATTTCAAAAAATCAAAGATAAAGCAAATCCCAGATGCTAAAACTGGCAAAATCTCCAATTCCAATTCAAAATAACAAAACCCAGATGTTAAAAACTGACAAAAACTCAAATTGCAATTCAAAATAACAAAACCCAGATGCTAAAAACTGGAAAGAACTCAACTTTCAATCCAAACTAACAGAACCCAGATGCTAAAAACTAGCAAAAACTCAACTTCCAATTCAAAATAACAAAACCCGGATGCTAAAAACATGCAAAAACTCAAATTTCAATTCAAAAAACAAAACCCAGATGCTAAAAACTAGCAAACACTGACAAAACCCAGATGCTAATAACTGGCTAGAACTCAAATTCCAATTCAAAATGCTACAAAATTAAAAACAAAATGAGTATATTCATGACAAAACAGAGAATATAGAAAAAGGGAATTTTTTATACCAAACTTATGATAGAGTTCAAGAATTGGGTTCTCGTGGATCGAAATTGATTGTGAAGAGACCAAGTTTTTTTTGGTTTATGAGATAAGACACATGATTTTGTTGTAGTGATTCTCCGCCCTAAAATATAATAATTCCCACATAAGGTTTTTGTCTTTTGTTTTTCATTTTTTTCCCTTTTTTCCACCTTGAAGAAAAAATAAATAATAAAAAAGGAAAAAATTAAAATTTGTTTTTGAACTATGATAAATTATTCAAATTTATGTTTTGGTAACAGTGATATTGGAAGTAGATTTTAAAGTTTTATCTTTAAAGGCTTGTTAGTCGAGGGTTGTTTTGCTTTTCGAGGATTTATGTTTTGTTTAGGTTTATCTTTGTACTAGTTGTATTATTGTAGCTTCTTGATTTTGATATATGTTATTGTATGTTGTTTACTGTGTTTCAATTATTGCATTATTTTGTTGTTTCTTGTTTTTTTTTTCTTGTAGGTTTTGGACGGATTCCTTTGTTTGTTAATATGTTCTCTCGTTTTTTTTTCTGGTAGGTTTTGGACAGGTTCCTTTGTTAGTTAATATGTTCTCTCGTTTTTTTTTCTAATAGGTTTTGGACGGGTTCCTTTGTTAGTTAATATGTTCTCTACATTGTCTGCTTCTTCTTTGTATTTGGATTTGCTACTCCTTGAGCCGAGTGTCTTTCAAAAACAATGTTTCTATAGGTACTGCTAGGTCTACTTATGCTCTATTCTTTCCAAACCCCATTTGTAGATTTCACTTTTAAGTAAGAGTTCAAAGTGGTGCTATGACGGTGAGATGTTGTATGTTGGAAGGTGGTGATTGCTAGTTATGAAACTTGTTTTCTCTATTCCTATCGGGAAGATCATTTTTCTCATTTTTGAAAAACTTCTTTTAAAACCAAACATAAAAAAATTGAAGAGCGACCAAACACACACAAAGACATCTATCCAAAAACATTGAAACTTGAATATCCAAGAAAAAAGACATGAAAGAAGAAACATGTTCCTTCTCATTTGAAGTTGCTAATACTATTATTTATCTATGGTTAGCCACAAAAAAATAGAAAGGTTACACTAATTATCTCTTTTGCAAGGGATAATATTTTTTGTTGCCAAAATTTCCTGAATGTAGGAGAGTATGTGTGCCTTTTTAAAATTCAGGCTAAGATTACACTCCAACTGAGAATTGAAAACTCAAAGCAGCAGCAGCAGCACCACCACCACCACTACCACTGTAGAGCAAAAAATGTCTACATATCGCGAGCTTACGGGTGATTTCAATCTGGCGTTGCTGCATTGGTACTTCGCGAGTAGTGAGTTTCCTTCTAGCTAACCTGTTTTTCACTAGCCTTGTAGTAAAGCATTTTCTGCACATAGAACATCATGTATCCTTGTGCAGCTCTAACGATGTTCTCACTCACCTGAGTGATCCAAGCATCATCGCATTTGTACCATTGATTACTTAACCTCAGATATGTTACGTAATGACCAGCATCAAGTTTACCGGTATGGGTGATGACAGCAAACAACTCAAATTCCGAGGATGATTCACAGGATGTGTCTTGCTCGTCCCCTTCAAAGGAGAAGATTCTATTTCCAAATCGACTCCTCAAGATAGACGAAGAGAGGTAAGGCGACATGTCCAATGAAAAAGGAAACTGTAGGTAGTGATCAACCTTCCTCGACATTTTCTTGATCATGGAATGCTCAAACCTTTTGATATGGAAGCAAGAAACCAGAGGCAGTTTTCTTATGGACATCTGTTTAAGAGATTCCTGTCTCACTTGACAATGTTGGCAGAAGAACTTTTGATCAGAACCCAATTTCTCAGGTCTTGTAAAGTGATCTAAACATCCTATCAACGTAGAAAGTCGACCATTTTGGCTAGACTTTCCGGGTTCTGCTTCTTTTTTCTTGTGAGATTTATGAGACTTCTTTGATGTTACCTTTGCTGAAGTCCCCTGGCTCAGTTCCAAGTCCAAGGAGATGTCGATGCATGGATCATATGTAGTAGATGTGAAGCCACAAGCTGTACACATGACATCAGACCGCAAGATTCCAGAAAATACTCTGTGAGCAATGCAACAGTCTCCGCTGCCTGTGCCAAAGAGAAAGATTCGGTAAATAAGATGAAAGATCGCAGATGGACAAAAGGAAATGAGTGCTCCAAACAAGTTACATACAGTAACACATACTTCCATATACACTGTTTTAAACGTTCAAAACACTTCATAAAAAGCAAAAAGGCCCTAGTCACATCATAACGTTTTATGAACTATTGCTAACAAAACAACAAGGGTCCTATGAGGAAAGGCAATCAACACAAAGAGTAGCTTAAAATTAATATGGTCTTGCAAGGCACATTTTTTGTCTTGAAAGCTCTAATATTTAGAACTATAGGCTATAGCTCCTTGTACACATTATCTAAATGCTAAATAATGTAAAGTGTGGACAATCTATTACCTCAATTCTAGCCCGTAGCCTTGTACTAATCTTAATCCTCTAATTTAGAGGAACGAGTGTAGGTCTGGATGCTTTTTAATCATAGTGCAGGTGACTTAATTGAAATTAAAGTACAACATTACGATATCACAAATGAATTGCTGCTAAAGAGTCACCCCTCTAATGATTGCTCTTCAAAAGAAATGCAAGGAACCAAGAGATTAGACCCACAAGAACAATATGACATGGGGGCTAAAGACAATGACAAAGCTTTCTTGAAGGTTTACCCTAAAACATGGTAAAAGTGTAAGTTAATACGAGAATTATTTAGTAAAAGATAACTCCTATTCTGAAATAAAAAAGACTAACCAAACTGAGACTTACTCGGGAGAGTAGGAGGAAATCTTTTCGCTTTTGTGAAACATCTCTAAGCCTGATAGCAAATATCAACTGGTATATTGCCTATGGCAAAGAAAGGACCTAAACCACAACCTGCAGTCAAATGTTACTATCCTTTTTCAGTGACGAAGGAAGTATGGATCGCCGTGAGAGAAGAGATTCTAGAACAACAAAGATAAGCCTATCAAGTAGATCCTAAGTGCCTACCAAGATGCTTGAATACATTAATCTACTTCCGACAGAAATTGCCACTTCCACCCCCTCCTCCTACTCCCAAGAAAAATTCAACAATTTCACCTGCTTAGGTACCTTGACTTTTGCTGTAACTAATCCACTTAGTTATTTGGGGTTTTTAGGTTTATGTTATTATACTTTATTACATTACATATTACAACAACATACCTAGTGCAATACCACAAGTGGTTAATTCAGGTCAATTTAAAACAATGATAATTTATAAAATATAGAAACTTTGCAGCTAACAAAGGTTATGAAATATAAGGCTTGAAAACCCAAAGCAACTTTTGACTATGTCATCAATTGTCATGACCAAGATTGAAGACTTCTCATATTTAACTCTATTACTCAAGCATAATACAGTAAGAAATTTCTTAGTGAAAAACGAGAAAATTTGCAAACAGTGTTCTTACGGCGGCTACACCAAGGCCTGAAGGACCACACAAATAATAGATCAGGTACTTTATCTCTTTTATAAATATTAAAATATTAGGTATTAGGGGTTATGTTTCTCCAACAGATTATTTTTTTTAAAAGAACTTTTTACATTGCTTATCACAAATTTAAAATAGCCTGATAAGCATCATGTACAAGCAAGAACTCATGTCAAGGTCAAATATGCATACAACAGAATAGGCAACAAAAATGCAAGAGTCGAAAAATAGGGATTTTGGGTGATGGGGGAGAAAAGATTGAAACTAACAGACTCTACCGCAACAAATAAATTTACCTGGACTTGGGCCCTTCCCCTTATCATTCTGCATTGTTTCATGAATCCCATCAAGCACGGAAATGAAAAACTCATGAGCATCCTGCTGTTCATAACTTGCAAGATTTGATGCATGCTTCCACCAGCTGTTCGGGAGAAAATTTTACATCCATCAAAATCAGATTTAGTATAGGGCTGCAACTACATACTCAACAAAAAATCTACATCCAATTAAACAAAATACATCTACATTATATCACAACCAAGCTACACACCACTGGCTAAATCTCACTTTTACGAAGGGAAAAGGGTGAGACATACAACTCCAACAATATGAATTTGATCTTGTCCCAATATCATTAGTAATGAAGAGTACAACCAAGCTAAATTAATGAACCATTTGAAGTCAGAGGTGGACCCAAAACTTAGAGCCAATGAATTCACAGTAGGTGTAGTCTATTATATACAGTTAACAACATATTACGCTGACCTTACTCTTACCTAACAAAAAAAAATAGATTGTTCATGATAGGCCTTTTAGCTCAAAACAGATGAAAAAGACAGACAGCAGCAACAAGCAGGCTATCAAATATACATTATTCTATGCAACCATACCATAGTTTCTACAACAAAGCCAAACACAATCTCAATAAACCAACAAAAGACGACTAAATGCAAACCTGTAGAGGAACTTTGCTGGACTAATAGGGGTCTGATTGCCAGAGAAAACCGCAGAAAACACTGCATCCAAATCACAAGCCAAACACAACACAGGGTTCTTGTTTGTCTTATCACTACTTCTTGTTACGATAGTACTATTCTTTCGTTGGCAAAAATATCTATTATGTTTATCACTTAGAAAGTAATTCCTCAATGGTGGTGTATGAAGCAATGCTTGAAGTACTGAGTTCATAAAACAAGTGTTTCCAAGATTGTTAAGTCCCCTCAAACCCCATTGTACTTCTGGGGTTGTTGAATCATTGTTCATTTGACTTGGAAATGGATTCGAATTCCCAACAATCAAAACTTGTTCATTCACATCAGGGGTCCATGGCTTATACTCCACCCGCCGCCTCTTTCTGGTACTCTCCACCGGCAGCAATGGAGTTTCTTGCATTGATCCAATCACAGCAGCCTCCGTTTGCGCCAGTACCACCGCGGCATCGAAATCGCGGTCGTACACCTGGTCCCTACACCCACAGCAGAATAGCTCAGCACGGTCGATATCCACAGCAATGTAATGCAGTGAACGATCAGAATCATCCACATCCACATCCGCAGGATGCGACGCCACGTGCACGTGACAGAACACTGCCGCGCACGTGACGCAAGTATAAAGACGGTGCGGCGCTTGTCGACACACGCCGCACCGAACCAACGCCTGGGGCGGATCCCTCCGAATAGAGGCCCGCCCCAATGGACGGACCTTCACACAGTCCGGGAAGTTACGAAACGGATTTGACCCGACTCTGGATCGGAGCTCCGATAAATGCTCGCACGATGCCCCACCGCCAGTTGTAGCGGTGTAAACATCCGGTGACCCGTTTTCCGGCGCCCGATTATCGATCTGAGGATTTTCGGATTCGGGTTGGATCAAATGATTGTTCTTAGACATTGCAGCTGGAAATGAAGGGCAAAATGGAAAAAACAGAGCAATCAAAGATTGAAGCTTGTAATCTATGTTAATAGAAAACTTCACGGATCAAAGTAAACAACCAAACTGAAAAAAAGATATCCATGGAGTTATCATTTTAGTATAAAGTTCAGATCTGCAACAATTTTCAGCCATTGATAGAAACAAAAATGGAGGAGAGGTTGGGGTGGAGTGGGGGAGAGGGGTTGTGGAGTGGGGTGGGGAGTTGGAAGTGTTGATTTTCTTGTTGCTATTTGTGAAGAGTTTTGATCCAAAAAGTAAGGAAAATGTTTGGGGCAAACAAACATTTTATTTCAAGAATTGGATCTAGACAATTTCACTTTTTTTTATTGGCAAATGATTGAGTCGATGGTCTATCAGAAATAATTAAAGGTAGATGTAAAGTTTCATAGAATTTAATAATTGACAAATTTTATAGATTAACAATAAAATTTGTCGCAAATCTTATTTAGCAACGAATTTGTGTTAGCTACTAACAGATATCAATGGATTAGCGACGGAGTTCGTAGAACTCACTTCATAGAATTATGTTAGGTATGTTGTTAGGGAGTGTGTGGTGGAGTTTAGAAGAATCAATGATAGGATGATGACGATTATGCTAGTTGTTGACGTGCTTAGTTTGAACGTTTCAAGTAGGTCTGGATGAGCAGACCAAAAAGCTCTTTTTGGAGGATTTGGATGAGGCAATAAGAGATATATTGAACACCGAGAAGATTTTCATTGGTGGAGATTTTAATGGTCATATCGGTGTAACTTCTAGTGGCTTTGATAATATTCAAGGAGCCTTTGATTATGGAGAGAGGAATAGAGGTGGAGCGTCGCTTCCGAATTTTGTTGAAGTCTTTGAGTTGGTAATTGCTAACTTGTGCTTTCCAAAGAAGGAGAACTATTTGGTTATCTTTCGTAACATGATAGCTAAGACACAAATAAATTACTTACTCCTTAGAAAGGGGATAAAGGCCTTAGTAAGGATTGCAAGGTTAATCCGAATGAGAACCTTACTATCCAACATAAGCTTTTGCTGATGGACTTAGAGATTAAGAGAGATAAGATAAAGAAGACTATTTATGATCGACCGATGATTAGATGGGGTGGTTTGACCCTTACCTTTTCTCGAGAAATGGGAGAGAAGCTGATTGGGATGAGGGGATGAAGAAATAGCAGGGAAGTGAACAACATGCGAGATAAGATTGATAATTACATTAGGGAAACAACTGTAGAGGTTTTAAGAGAATCGAGAGGGAACTTTGGTGGTCATCAAGCAGATTGGTGGTGGAACGGTGAAGTCCAAGAAAAATTAGAAGAAAAAAATGTGGGTTATACTAAGTGGGTGGAGTGCTTGGACTGAACGCTTAAGGAAGCCTATAAGACAACGAAGACGAAAGCTATATTGGCAGTTACAGTTCCTAAGATGACAGTTTTCGAACGCTTGTATGTCGAGCTAGGACACAAAAGTGGGGATAAGAAATTGTATAGGCTTGTGAAAGCGAGAGAGAAAGGTTCACAACTTGGATCAAGTGAAGTGCATCAAGGATGAAGAAGACAATGTGTTGGTGTAAGAGACCTCCATTAAGCAAAGGTGGCAGGCATACTTCCACAAACTCTTAAATGAAGAAGAGGACATAGACATTGTGTTGGGTGAATTGGTATATTCTGAAGATTGCGGGACTTTGGGAATTGTAGGTGTTTTAGGGTTTAAGAGGTTACATTTGTTATTAGTAGGATAAGCAAGGGAAAAACGACTGGACCCGATGAGATTTCGATGGATTTTTAGAAAAGCACGATCAAGACGCGTATGGAGTGGTTTACTAGGTTGTTCAATGTTATTTTCAATACGGTTAAAATGCCCAACTAATGGAGGTGGAGTACTACGGTTTCATTGTAAAAAAATAAGGGTGATATCCAAAATTGTAACAATTATAAGGTATCAAATTGCTAAGACATACTGTGAAGGTTTGGGAGATACTGGTGAAGAAAAGGGTGAGGAAAGGAATATCAATTTCAAGAACTAATTTGGATTCATGTCAGGTCGATCGACTACTGAAGTCATATATCTTATGCAGAGACTGGTGGAGAAATATAGAAAAAATAAGAGGGACCCACATATGGTGTTTATTGATCTTGAAAAAAACTTATGACAAATTCCTGAGAAATTTCCTCTAAAGATGTTTGGAGGATAAAAGTGTACCGATAGTTTATATTAGGGAGATAAAAGATATGTATGATAGAGCCAAGACTCGGGTTAGAACGGTGGAAAAAGACTCAGAGACCTTTCTAGTTAAGATTGGGCTACATCAGGGATCAGTTCTTTACCTTTTTCTATTTGTCTTGGTGATGGATGAGCTAACTCCATCTATTTAAGAAGGTGTTCCATGGTGTATGTTATTCGTGGAGGACATAATACTGATTGATAAGGCACGAGACAAAGTTAATGATAAGTTGAAGGTATGAAGACAAACTCTGGAAGTCAAAGGGTTTAGGTTGAACAAGAGCAAAACATAATATTTAGAGTGCAAATTCAGTGTTGTGTTGGACGAAGTGGACATGGAAGTCGCACAGACTATTTCGAAAAGAGAAATTTTAAAATATCTTGGGTTTGTCATCCAGGCCAGCGGGGACATGGATGATAATGCCACACATCGAATTGGGGCGGCTTGCATGAAATGAAGGCTTGTCTCTAAAGTCTTATGTGATAAAAAGATACCACATGAACTTAAAGGTAAGTTCTACAGAGTTATGATTAGACCGTCCTTATTGTATGAGGTGGAGTGCTGACCAATTAAGAACTCATATGTTTAGAATATGCATGTTGCAGAGATAATGATGTTGATATAGATGTGTAGGCATACTAGGAGTGGCAAGATCAAGAATGAGATTATCTGGGAAAAGGTGATAGTGGCCTCTGTGACAGATAAGATGAAAAAAGTGAGATTGAGATGTTTGAGCATGTGTAGAGGATAGGCATCGATTCTAGTAAGGAGGTGCAAGAAAATAGTGGTAAGGGGTACGCAGAAAGGTAGGGGTAGACAGAAAAAATATATGAACATGTGATTAGACAGAACATGACACAACTTCCTATTACTGGAAACATGACCTTAGATAGGAAAAAGTGGAGGTCGCGTATCAGGGTAGAAGGTTAATAGGGGTAGAGTGTTGTCTTACCTTATGTAGGTCTAGTCATAAGTTCTTGTCATATGTTGTCTATTGTATTTCAGTTTTCACACTATTTTGATGTTTTTATTGTACTGCTCTTGTAGACTTTGCATTTCTATGCTTATTAACCGTTATGCTTTCTTCCACTATTTTCGTCTTCTGTTACTTGGGTTTGATGCACTTGAGTCGAAGGACCTTCTGAAGCAGCTTTTTTACCTTCGCGAGGTAATGGTAAGGTCGTACACTTTACCCTCCCAAAACATCACTTTGTGGAATTTCACTGAATATGTTATTGTTATTGTTGTTATTGTTGTATATTGGCATATGACAGACTCACTAAAATTATAACAGGACAATTTTAAGAGGCTGTCTATTTTTGTTAGAGAGAAAGAAAAAATATTATATTCTAAGTTTTACGATACTCATAACAAATAATGATTTTTTGTGTGTATCTAAGTGAAAAATCGTACAAGCAATTTCAGGAGGTTGTTTATGTATTTGGCTAGAAATGAAAGAAAGAAAATTACATGAGTGGTTCAACACGAACATTTTGAATATATCTAAGATTGATTGAGGTATTTAAATAAAAATATGTGGTAACTTTAAAGGCTCTTCTAATTTATGTTATTGAATTTGTTAGTGTAGATTAGGATGAAGATTTTAGAGATTGCTATCATTTGTAGGCAAAATTATTTTATGGTACTATTAAAAAATGGGTATAAAAGTCTATAATCTATGGACACAAGTACAACACAAATAATTTGAATTAGGGGCTTTGATTAAATCATAGCAAATTTTATAGATCATTAAAATTTATCATGGAGTGATAAATATTCTTTCATTTGTAATTAGAAATGTTGGGTTCGAGCTTTCGATATAAAGACAGTTTTGTAAAAAGCATTTTACTCCCCAAAGTGAGGTTTCTCAAGGCGAATTCAAATTAATCATAGTTGAGCTTCAAAATAAATTTCGAACACCGAATAAAATAAAAAATAAAAAATTGGGGACCAAAGAAGGACCTACCAATTCCAAGGAAATGAATGAAGTAGAGATGGTCCTTTCAATTGAATCCTTATCACAAGGTTCCACTATAATGATGAAAAGGTCTTCAACAACTTGTACAATGTTCACAAAAGCTATTCCTCTTACTTTACTATTTCTGTACTTTTTATGATTTTCTATTGGTTCTTGCATTTCATGGCCTATGTAATAACAATAACAATATATTCAGTGTAGTTTCACAATTGCTTCAAAGATAGAGAGATTATTTCCGATAGATTCTTAGCTCAACCTAAATAACTTTTAACTATATAAAAAAAGTAACCACTTTTAAGACACTTAAAAAGAAATAATGTCAATTTTATTCTCATGGTCTTTCATTTAATATTATTATTGAAATGAAAAGAGTAGATCTAACTGCCAAAGTTTTAAATATAATATCATGTGAAAAGTCATTACAAAATATCATTTTCAGATCTTTGAAAGAAACTGCATCATCATAAAACACCATATTCATTTTTTTAAAATGACTTGAATAGTAAAAGAACTCACATTTTACTTGTTGAACAGAGTTACTCGATATTTGTGTTGGTGAAAAGTACCAAACACCTCGTGAAATTAAGGGAGATGCACACAAAATGACCCGAACATCACGGTTAAAAAACAACTAGAAACTGCAAATTGGGTCACTTGGGCACACACTTCTTTCACACATTTACACTAATAATATATGTAGCTTGAGCAATTACAGGTACAACAACAACAACAACTACTATGCCTCGATCCCAAGCAAGTATGGATCAGCTGTACGAATTCCCACTACTTGTACTTGAGCAATTACAAGTAGAGTGAGTAATTTACAAAGTGCAGAAAGTAGGTAATCTTGTGTGTTCACAGTTCGATTGTTCGTTTATAACACATGTAATGAGGCAAAAGCAACTTGACCTGCCAAACAACTCAATAGCAGCAAATGCATCCTCTGCAGAAGTTGAAACTCTAGCATTACAAGATCAGTATTCAAGGAAGAACCATGTTCATAAACTTTCTCTTGGAAAATGCTGACCACCACTTGTTAGGTGTTCCGTTAGGCCGATAAGCAACGCTTAATAATCTCCCGCTAGTTTCCTCCCTTATTTGCTTCAGATAATTCCTGAAAAGTTCTGAGTTCAAATGTGACAGCCAGAACAAAAAGATTCCTATCCATTAGTCTGAGAGCCACACATCTACGAAAGAGAAAACAGAAAAGAAGAAAAAGAACAAGATAACAAAAGGAGAGTAAAATTTGTCTAATATTTGAGGTATACAGTTTTCTGACGAGATAGAATAAATGCAAAATGGCATCTTGATGTCTATTAAAGCAAAAGAGAAACAAAAGTAAGAGACATTATGGCACAGTCCATATAAGAATAAGTATCCTTTTGGAAGTCGGTTACAAAATACTGCAAAGGTGTCACAAACAAAGAAGTACCACACCATTTCAATATATTGTGCTAAAAAATATCAAAATATAATCAAACTATATTTCAAAATGGACGTGAAAGCATAAAAGGGCAATATAGCATATCACTTCGGACAAAAATATTACAGTTATATTTACGTGAAAAGAGGAGGAAAGGAAAAAGAGATATCTGAGAAATAGACGAAGTTATTTCACTCTCTAACTCTGATCACTCTGTCAACTTCAGACACCCTAAGCTGGAATTCATTTTCTAGACCAACACACAACAACTCTTTCCTCCCATCAGATTCCTCCAAAATAACACTTCTTCATATTATTTTGGGACAATTTGAGGTCATAGGAGGTGATTGAGAAGATTGGACACAGATGCATGGAACAACCCAGGGGATCTCAAAATTGTTAGCTGCAATTTTCTATCAGACTGCTAATGATCAGCTCATAAGATGACAACTACTATCTGTTTCCTCGGAATACAATGGTTAATGGCAAGTTTATTTTGATCAGGTGTTCCTTCTTTCTTCAAAAAGAAGTCATTGAGGGGC